GACTCGTTAAAACACTTTAATTATTTGAATTGCTTCAGGCCATCAGAGACTTAGATTCCTTTCAATTCAATTTCCTTTCAATTCAAGATTTTTAAAGTCTTCACTGACACTCCCCTAAATAACAACACTATGTTTGATTTCAGAAACATCTTAAACCCCCAAAGGGAAGAACATTTTCTTATAAAGTATGCTGTTATTAAAAAAATAAAAAAATTCATGCCTCCTGGTAATTCCTATTCCTTTGTTCTTTGCAATCACACTGACTAGAACAAAGTCTCCCTCCAACTTTCCCAAAGACTAATTGCTCAAACATAATGTTTAAATTACATAAAATATTCACTTATTTGAGGGATATTACATAGTATTTAGTTACTGTTTGATAAGGAGACAAAATTAAAATTAAAAAAAAATACATTTCACATTGTCATAAGATATTCTCACACAAGCTTCAGGATCCTCACATACTGGCCACTGCGGTGAGGCATACACTAACTCCAATAAGAATTAGAAAAATTATAGGTCCTACCAACCCATCTCTTGTTCTCTTCTTGCCTTCCTTCTTGCTATGAAGTCGGGTGCATGTCACAAAGGGTCCAATGTTGGAAAAGACAAATAAATGAAAAACAACAATGTTTTGATCTAAAAATGTCCACAATTAAGGGAGAACATCTCTTAAGCTATTTGTAAATTGTAATAAAATACAAATAGCTCCCTGGGACATCCTAAGAGATAACAAGTGCTCTGCTGATACTTTTAAAATAGTGACTACCGGCCAGGCGCGGTGGCTCACACCTGTAATCCTAGCACTTTGGGAGACTGAGGCGGGCGGATCATGGGGTCAAGACATTGAGACCATCCTGGCCAACGTGGTAAAACACTGTCTCTACTAAAAATACAAAAATTAGCTGGGTGTGGTGGTGGGCACCTGTAGTCCCAGCTGCTCGGGAGGCTGAGGCTAGATAATTGCTTGAATCTGGGAGGCAGAGGGTGCAGTGAGCTGAGATCATGCCACCAAAGTAAATACTTTGTCTTCTGCATAGATTTTTCCTAATTTTTCTAACAAATTGGGTATTTTGTTACATTTAAAAAGTTAATAAACCACTTTTTAAAAATACTATGTTCCCAGGATTTAATGAACACTGTGTGTCAGACCTGTAGCTGAGTTTAAGTTCTAAATCTATACTTGAAATAAAATAAGCACCTCTCTCCTCCACACACTCTGGCAATAAACTAAAGTCTGTGGAATTGAATATTATAAATCCTATCATACAGTCACATGGTTTTTAATCTTCTGAACTCTTCAGTAAACTCATTTGATCTGTAGTTGAGAACTCATTCCAGAATTCGGTGTAATCTTCTTCTCTCCTAGACATTTGGCAAGCTTGTCATAAAGGCCTTCAACATTCAAATTCTTCCTTTGAGACAACAATTATCCTGTCTTAAAAGCAGCACCATAGGTTTAGAAAACGACACAAAGGTCTAATCTTGCCTGTTAGCATTCACCAGCTTTTCTTCTTTAAAGCACAAAACAATTATTTTAAAGATCTTACAATGTGTTCTCTGTTTTGTCTAAAACTTTGAAATAAAAATCAACAAAACTGATTCCTTTCAAGACTAGATGCTAGTACACTGCTATGGCTTGGCTCTGTGTCCCCAGCCAAATCTCATGTTAAATTGTAATCTCCAATGTTGGGGAAGGAACCTGGTGGGAGGTGATTGGGTCATGAGGGTGGTTTCTAATGGTTTAGCACCATCCCCCTAGTGCTGTCTTGTGAGTGAATTCTCACAAGATTAGGTTGTTTAAAGTGCACTTCCCTCTTCACACTCACACTCGCTCTCTCCTGCTGCCACGTGAAGATGTGCTGGCTTCCCCTTCTCCCTTCTGCCACGACTGGGAGTTTCCTGAGACCTCCCCAACCATGCCTCCTGTACAGCCTGTGGAACTGTGAGTCAAATAAGCCTCTTTTCTGTATAAATTACCCAGTCTCGGGTAGTTCTTCATAGCAGTGTGAGAATGGACTAATGCAGATATCCGGCTCATACTTCCTCACTCCCTCATCCCCCCAGTCTGCCTTTATATAACAAATATCAATTGGCCCCAATGCACTGTTAATAGGACAATCCACTAGAACGGCTACAGTGAAATGAAATCAATGACAGGACAGTAATCAGGTTCATTTCTGGCAGGTGAGCACATCCTAAGAGATTCCTAAGGTACTGGGTTGAGGCCCTCTAATGGTGGTGCAGGGTGTTTTTTGGTCTTCAGAAGGTCACTTACCTGGTCTTAATTTTTTCATCTACAAAACATATTCATTTGTTACTCAGTCATTAAATAAACAATAATCACATGCTATAGGCCAGAGACTGTTCTAAGCAATGGTGGGAAAATAGAGGTTCAAAAAAGTCACGGTGCAGTGGTCAGACAGATGAGGAAAATAAAAGTCCAAAGCAATGTGCTATATCTGTAGGAGGTGTAACATACACGACCATGGGAGGAAACCTCAAATGCTGAGAGCACTGGCAAAGGCTGTATAGGAGAAATGTTTGAGCTGAGTCATGAAGATACAGAGAAGCATATACAGGCCTATTGGAGAACTTTTGCAAGTCATAGCATTTTTGAAACACTAAGGGAAGATGTTGCGGGAAGTCAGGGACCCTGAATGGAGGGACCAGCTGAAGTCGCGGCAGAAGAACATAAATTGTGAAGATTTCATGGACATTTATTAGTTCCCCAAATTAATACTTTTATAATTTCTTACACCTGTCTTTACTGTAATCTCTGAACATAAATCGTGAAGATTTCATGGACACTTATCACTTCCCCAATGAATATCCTTGTGATTTCCTATGCCTATCTTTACTTTAATCTCTTAATCCCGTCATCTTCTTTGTAAGCTGAGGAGGATGAATGTCGCCTCAGGACCCTGTGATTGTGTCAACTGCACAAATTGTTTGTAGAGCACGTGTGTTTGAACAATATGAAATCTGGGCATCTTTAAAAAAGAACAGGATAACAGCGATGTTCAGGGAACCAGAGAGGTAACTTTGAACTGGCCGCCGGTGAGCCGGATGGAAACAGAGCTATATTCCTCCTCTTTCATAAGCAAATAGGAGAAATATTACTGAATTCTTTTTCCCAGCAAGGAACATCCCTGAGAAAGAGAATGCACCCTGAAGGTAGGCCTATAGACAGCCCCTTTTTAAGGCATCCCATCTTTTATGGTAGAAGCCGATGGGATGAAATAAGCTCCGGTCTCCTATAGTGCTCCCAGGCTTACTAGGATGGGAAAATTCCCACCCAATAAATTGTGGTCAGACAGGTTACCTGCTCTCAGTTTTTAGCATGAAGGGCTGTTGAATTTTGTCAAAGGCCTTTTCTGCATCTATTGAGATAATCATGTGGTTTTTGTCTTTGGTTCTGTTTATATGCTGGATTATCTTTACTGATTTGCATATGTTGAACCAGCCTTGCATCCCAGGGATGAAGCCCACTTGATCATGGTGGATAAGCTTTTTGATGTGCTCTTTCCCTTTATTTCTCAACCCAGCCGAGACACTTAGGAAATAGAAAAGAACCCACGTTAAACACCGGGAGCGGGATCTCCCGATAGGAAGATGACTGATTACAAAAGAAGGAAGGGCATAAAGGAGGATAGGCCAAGGCAGGTAAAAGGCAAACCATGAAGGGCCCAGAATGGCATGTAGAGGATGTGGAATCCATCTGTCTTGAAGAAAAGAGAAGCGATTGAGGAATTTAAAATCAAATAGTTTTAAGCTGTTAGAGAATTTTAAGCCATCCAAGCCCACCTGGACGCTGTCATGATTTCGAGGTTTTACTCCACTTGGAGAAGGTAGAGGCAATGAGACCAGCTCTCAGATGACTTCAAATATATAGGTTCAAATTGACAAAGGTCTAAACTAAGGCAGTGACAGTGAAGACGGAGAGGATTTGTGGGCTGCTGAGATGCAGAACTGATATGATTTAGAGACTGTTTAGATGAGGAGGATGAAGAAGAAAAAACATCTAGGATTATTTTTAAAGATTAGTTTTGGACGTTATACTTTTGTGGTAGCCAGGAGACTTCCATGTGGAGATACCAAAAAATAATGGGAGGTACCAGCTTGGAACTCAGGAACAGTGTCTGAGTTGAAATAAAAAATGCATTCATTAATCCATCCAGCATATAGGGGGCAGAAGAAAAGCTGTTAATGGAGACAAAAAGATGGCCCCAGGCATAGGAGAAAATACCCAGTGTTGCTAAACCAGGAGAACAGGGAGTTTCAAGGAGACAGCAGTCAATGCTATACATTCCTGTGTAGCAGTAAAGTCAGATGAAGCCTGAAAAGTGCTCAGGGAATCTGCGATGCAGAGATTGTTGGGACTACAGAGAGTGCAGTGTCAGTGGAGCAGCTTGGACACAAACGACACAAACCATACTCTCATAGGCTGCAGAGTTACCAGAACCACAAAAAATTGAAAACTTTTTTTTTTTTTTCTAGAAGCTCGGGGTAAAGGATCCAGATAAACTAACTGGTTAGATGATCTTTATAGCACTTTTTACCAAACCATGAAATTATACTAACAAAATAGTTTCATATCAAGAAAAGTGGATATGCTTCCCCAGATGTCTGATTTTCTAACAGCCTGGATGTTAAGAAATCGAGAAGATGGAATTTAGGTAGGTTCAGAACAGGATTCATCTGTCTGAACACTTGGCTTGGGATGTTCAAGCAGACACTACTGTTATTGCCATCTGTGTAATAAACAAGTGGGTGAGGTGTGTGGGTGATTACTAGCCTCCCTCATCTCTTAGTTTGTGGTGATGATAGTGTTAGGAATATAGAGACCATGAACTACTCATCCAAATGCTGAAACCAGTCATTCTAAACAGTAGAAAGAAGGAAACCATTTTCTACAGGGGAGTAAAATAATCCTTAGGTAAACACACAGAAATAAAGAGTGACTTTTTAAAGGGACAGTCATCGTATTGTTTACTCACAGGTGGTCCTGGGGGCCCTGGTTTTCCTGGAGGTCCCGTTTTCCCTCGTCTTCCCTTGAAACCAAAGAAGAACAGATGATAAATACTGTGACTCCATTACATTTTAATATCAAACAATATTAAATGGGAATATTGAAGACATTAAAAATGAACAGAAAGTTAAGAAACAATTCCAATTCCTCATGACTTTTAAATATCAATTAATTTTAAAAGTTGTGGGCCAATTTTTAAGAACCATAATGAGAAGTATAGTACCTGAAATGAATAAATCTTAACTGTTATCAGCAGTCCTTTAAATGCTATCTACCTTGGTTCTTTAGCAAAGTAATATAAAGTATATGAAAGATGGTCTAAGACGGGTATTTTATCTGATGATTCTGTGGTTTTGGATGCAATAACAAGTACATCTGTCATCTTAAGTTGGTGTTCTCCAAGAGGGGCCTGAACTGTAATTTTGTATGAGTTATTTGAGGGTGAGATTGGGTGTTAAACATGCATATTCCTGGACTTCATCCTAGACTTCATGGTTTAGAATCTCCGGGGTGGGAGCCACGAATCTGCATTTTTATGCTCACTAAAATTTGAAAAGCACTGCCCTAAGCCCTATTGTAATTACATATACTGTATGAAGCACATTAGCTCTTTTCTTCCCTTAAGGTGGTTAAGTTGTTTTTATAAGTGAACTAAAATGTGTAATTCTTGCATGTTAATCTTCATTATCACAACCGAGTATTAACTCTCTCAAGTTCACAACTAGCTAAATTCCAATCGCAAGATGTTGTGCTAACATCTCTTGTACCTGTGAATCTAATAACATTTAAAAAGCATTTCATTAGATATTATAAAATTATTTTCTTAAACATTTTTTATTTTTTAAATTTTTAACAGAGGGAAGTAAGCTTAGGTATTGAAAGCATACATTTTGAATGAGAAGCATTTTATGAGCATATGTTTTCTAAATATGGTCACTCTATTTCATTGTTACTAACAATTCTATTTGATTATCATATTGGTAAACTGTCAGTACATATTAAGGCTTATTGATGCTTATAAAGTAAAAATATTAGGTTGATCTTTTCCATGCTTTTTTGGGGGAGAATTATAAATGTAGGCACAGAAAGGATCATTTTATTCACCAATTTTCTTGCTCTGAAAATGTCAGGCAAAGTTGCCTGATTCCTCTGATTTTCATCTAGTCTTGGAGTGGGACAGGAGGTCTAAATGCCAGTTGAAACAGGAGAGTAAGTTTTGAGAGATCAACAAGCAAATACAATGTTGTGATTGGATGAGAAACGTGTCCATTGTTTCTGAAGGGAAATTAAGGTGATAACATCAAAGACTTCATATGAAAACAGCATCCTTGTCTATAAATAGCACTAGTTAACATCTACAGAACAGATTTAAATTTTTTTTTAAATTAAAAACATAGGTTGGGCACGGTGGCTCCTGTCTGTAATCCCAGCACTTTGGGAGGCTGAGGCAGGCAGATCACCTGAGGTCAGGAGTTCGAGACCAGCCTGGCCAACATGGGGAAACTTTGGTTCTACTAAAAATACAAAAAAAATTAGCTAGGCATGGTGGTGTGTGCCTGTAATCCCAGCTAGTTGGGAGGCCGAGGCAGGAGAATTGCTTGAACCTGGGAGGCGGAGGTTGCAGTGAGCTGAGATCACGCCACTGCACTCTGGCCTGGGAGACAGAGACTGTCTCAAAAAAAAAAAAAAAAATTAAAAACATAAATGTAATTATTAATAGTAGTGTTTTTCTCTTATGTTTCATTTTACAGATCTAAACCATGCAGTTCTTTTGGAGGATTGTAAGATTGAAATGAACATATAATTTAATATTCTGAATACTTAAAACAAGTTATACACATCTGTGCCATGTTCTAGTCTTGCAGTTTACATTTTCTGAAAATCAATATATTTGGTATTTTAGTAAATATAAGTAAATTTGCCTCTGAGGACTAATCAATGATAAAAAGTTTACTTAGAAGGTAGAAGCACTGTAATTTATTAATTCACAAGAATACAAAGAAACTAAATAAATGGTATCTAAGTAAGTGATTGGTTCTTTCTTTAAGCATACATTCGGTTGAGGTAAGTTAAAACCATAGGATCAACTTTAGTTTACATTCCCCATTCTTCAAAGGAGACATGTGTATTGATTTGGGCAGGAAGCGGGGAAAATGAGGCTATTGATTAACTTTTATCACAGAGTTAATGTTGAAACAAACCAAATGTCAGATATTGTAACATAACATTGGCATGTGTTAAGATGAGGAGTAAAAAGCATCCAAGATTCAGGATATGGTGAGGGCAAGCATCCAGATTCCTGCATATCACTGCTGATTTCAGCCAGCCTTGCCATTGTCAGAGTGTCAGCGTGTCAGTGTGGATGCTGGAAGAGGGCAGAGAGAAGGCCGATTTTGCTGAGTGGACATGCAGGTAAAATATTTTTGAGGGTTGTTAAGTAATTGGAACATATTGTGTGCACACAACGTTAGCCAGCACATATTTTCACATTAAACCTGGTTTCTAGGCTTGAACTTTCCTAAATCAGATTTGAACAATTTTTAAAGATGCGCTATACAAAGCAATGCAGTTACCTTTTTGTTAGGCTTACCACCAAATACATACAGGTTGATTATCATCTGTCCAGAAGTGACTGGAACTAGAAGTGTTTTCGAATGTTTTTTATTTTGGAATATTTGCATCTTGGGGATGGGCCCCAAGTCTAAACATAAAATTCATTTATGTTTCATATATACCTTATCCACATAGTCTGAAGGTAATTTTATGCACTATTTTAAATAATTTTTTGCATAAAACAAAATTGTGACTGTGTTTTGACTGCAACCTGTCATGTGAGGTCAGGTGTAGAATTTTCCACTTGTGGTGTCATGTTGTTGCTCAAAAAGTTTTGGATTTTGGAGCATTTCAGATTTCGAATTTTCAGATTAGGGATGCTCAATCTATACTAGAAACAAGATTTACCTTGGGAGAAACTCTTGACACTAAAGTCTCAAGTGTAAGTGACTTGTGGAGGACAGAGGAGAGGGGTGGACGGATGAGAAATGTGGGTGGAAGCTTTAGAGCATAAGAGAGTTATGGGTCCAGGCGGGGCACAATTTCTTTTTTTCTCAATTTTTTTTTTTTTTTTTTTTTTTTTTAGAGACAGGGTCTCACTATGTTGCCCAGGCTGTCTTGAATCACTCCTGGACTGGAGTGATTCTCCAGCTCTGGCCTCCTCCCAAAGTGTTGGGATTACAGGTGTGAGAAATGGCACCTTTCTTAGGGCCCACAATTTCTATCAACATAATAGTCCATGCCTACTCCCAGACATCATTGTTCTTCTTTCCAAGGAGCCCTGGGAATTAACTCCCTTGTCTTGTTTCCCTTCTTCAAGGCCCCAAGCTGCACCAAATACCGCCGCACAGTCTCCTGTTCCTCTGAAGGATCATCTGTCTTCTACTTAAAAGCATTAGGGAAAGGCAAAAGCCTACCTAAGAGCTAACAACACTCTTTGGTCTTGGCCACAGAAGCAAGATACTGAAGGGAGCGTCATTGTCTGAAAAGTGTCGCAATAAGATGCACACATTGTGCCACCACTGTGGCTCTAAGGCCTGTCACCATCAGAAATCACCCTGCGGCAAATGTGGCTACCATGCTAAGCACAAGAGGAAGTATAATTGAAGTGCCAAGGCTTAAAGATGAAATACTACCAGGACTGGTCGAGCGAGGCACCTGAAAATTGTATACCGCAGATTCAGGCATGGATTCTGAGAAGGAAAAACGTCTAAACCCAAGGGGGCAGCTGTTGTAGCATCCAGTTTATTTTAAGAATTTCAATGATTAGTCACACAATAAATGTTCTGGTTTTTAAAAAAGGAGCTAACAGTAGATTTTTGGTAGGGCGAATTTTACTACTTAAGCTAGGACATTTTGGGGGAGTAGTTTCTGAATAATTATGCCAAGAAAACAGGCATAAACCACAACTCCATTCCTAGGACTAAAATCAGATTCCCCCACTTTTCAGAGGAAAATCTAATCTGCGAATCTTTGTTCATTGGAAAGAAAGACATAAAGTGTCTCCAATTCTTCCTGTGGTGCAAGAAATCAATGATGAACCATTATGTATACAAGGTATCCTAATTAGTGGACAGAATGCCTCACACGAAGCACTCTTCGTGTGGATGAGGATACCTGGGGCCAGGGCCTGCGGAGGTGGATAGCAGGCCCAGGAAGAAGGCTCCCGATGCCAATGGGAGGAATGTTTGCACGTTTGCTTTCACTTCTATCTCTGGCTGTTTTGGTCCATTCATTACAGGGCTCTGTCTAGACCCAAAAGTGAGGCAAAAGGTGGGGACTTGGGTGTGGGTGGAGGGAAAATCCTGGAGCTAAGTCAGATATCTGCTGAGCTGGAAGAGGTCTTCCTGGTTAGGGTGGCTATTCTCAGGTACCCATTTGTTCAGAAGCAATTCTGATAAATTAGTGTTTGGTTGAACTTTCAGATGGATAGAGATCTAGTGTTTCAGCATTATTATAACTGGGCTAATCCAACATTTTCCTGAAAACTGTGGTATAAAGTGCAAAGCACAGATTTACTCTATCAAGCTACCCTGGAAACCTGAAAGTGCTCAATATGTCAGTTTTCTGTTTGGCAACTGTGTGGAGATTATTAGACAACACTTTAGATATCTGCTTAATGATCTAAACCTAGGACTGCTCAAACCTGACCATGCATGAGTGTCACCTGGAGGGCTGTTTAAAATAGATTGCTGTGCCTCACTTACAGAATTTTTTTTTTTTTTTTTTGAGACAGGATCCATGCTGGTCTCAAACAATCCTCCTCAGGATCAAGAGGTGGAAGTAACCCAAATGTCCATCAGTGGATGAATGGATAAACAAAATGAGGTACATACATATAATGGAATATTTTCAGCCTTAAAAAGGAAGATAATCCTGGCCCATGCAACAACATGGATGAACCTCAAGGACATATACCAAGTGAAATAAATCAGTCATAGGAAACCTCAGGAGGATCATTTGAGCCCA